GGGGTGGAGATGAGATTGAAAGTAAATGTTCGTTTTTAGGATCAGAGAGAGGAAAGTGAAGTGCATGGGGGAAAAAAACAAACAAGAGAAGGAGTGGGTGAGGAGATGTTACTTGAGGCCTGGGAGTGGAGACTTGGGAGAAATCAGGCAACGGCGACTCTCAAGATAAGGGGGAATAGGAGGAGGATTAATTGTAGGCCTATTTTTAGACGATTTGAGAACCAGTATCAAAGGAGAAGGAGGAGGAGGAGAAGGAGGGGTAGGAGGAGGAGGAGGAGGAGGAGGAAGAGGAGGAGGAGAAGAAGACTAATAATAACAAGATCATTTTTATTGCGCCTAGCCTACTTCCATGTCCATACATCTCTAGGAACTGTACATAAATACAAATAAAAAGAACAATAACTGAAAAACATTCATATCAGCTCTTGTAATATTCATGAGATGCAATAACACTTGAGTCCTACCATTTGCATGAGGAAAAACAAAAAATTTAAAACAAGGATAACAATTAAGAAGAATGCAGACCTGACCACATCAGAGTACCCACAAAGCATCTTTCTGAAAAAAAAGTAGTACCAACCAAGAGCTCCCGAATCAGAGACGTAGACGGGTGAGACGAATACGCCGCGGCAAACAGAAAGCGCTGAGGGTAGTCCACCGCATTCTCATCTTCAAAGTTCAAGAGTTCTAGGATTGCCTCCCTTGAAGCCTCTGTCTGTGCGGCTGTGGCCACATCAATCAGCTGGGGTCTGGACAGACATTTATTTAAAAATAATAAATAAGCGTACGGATATTGACAGACAGATAGACATATATATATATATTTATATACACAAATCATAACGACGGCTTAGTTTACCAAATTCCACATTTTAGACCCTTTCAGATTCATTATAAAATAAACAACAAAGCATCACGTTTCTTTTCCTAGTTTACATCTGACATTAATAATGTAAAATAGGGATTTTAAGCAAATCTGATTAAGGTTCTTTGACGAGCAAAAAAAAATAAATCTGAGGACTTCAATTTTGTTGGGAGTACTTGGCAGATCTGTTATCATAGAAGGGGCAAAAAAACAAGGAAGTAACAACTCACACAATGTAGTAGCTCTCTGGAATCACAAACGTCTCGGCCAGGGTGCTTTTCCCAGAGTCCCGGAAACTTTGGAGCAGCTGCGCAAACGCCTTGGCGGAGCGGACGGTGGCCATATTGTCCGTGGAGAGATCGTCCGCCAGTTTGGCCACAAGTTTCTTTGGCTGTGGGCACAAACAGAACCACATTTCAAATGCTGAGGTACGGAACAGAATCACAAACGCAATGGGGCAGCATGAAGATCTACTGACACCAGTAAAGAGACGAAAATTAAAATGGTATTGGCATGTCACAAGACCCACAGAACTTGCCAAAACAATCCTACAAGGAAACGTACAAGGAAAGAGAAAGAGAAAGGGAGGAGAAGGCAGAGAAGGAGATGGGAGGACAACATCGCAGAGTGGACAGGGAAGACGAAGGGTGACAATCTGAGGGAAAGCAGAGAACAAAAAGAAGTGGTGAGAGCTGGTTTTCAGAAGCAGTGGAGCCCCCACGGTTGCCCCAACCACGGGGTAGAAGAAGAAGAAGACAAACAGAAAAAACATGTCAGTTAAAAATTATCAGGCCACACAGGAAATGTACGGAGAGAAGTCCTGTGGGCTTCCTAACTTTGTGTATTTTTAAGATCGTTCATAAAATGAGCAGCTGAGCGGAGGTTTCCACATGGAGAAAAAGAAAATATAAACTGGACTTTTCAACATACAATGAAAAACTCTTGAATTGAACTAGCTGGAAAAGGAAGTTATTGCAAAGTTGAGTGAGTTATCCACTGAAGAGGATTCACAACTCTAGATAAACACTTCCACTTCAACATTATGTCCTTCTCGTAGATTTAAAACGGAGACAGGAAAAAAAAGTTCTTGATAATAGACATTTACCGTTTCAAGCTTGCAAATCAAAAAAAAAATTATCCGCAAATACAGCAATTGATTCAACTGAGGCTTTAGCATGGAGATGATTCACAACTGTAGACAAACACTTCCACTTTAACATAAACTTCTCCTCACAGATTCACATCCTTCTGTGCACTGCTGATTTTCCTCTTCACTTGGCAGCAGGGAAACCTCCAGACCAGAGCCAGCCTCTGAGATTTGAAAAAAATAGACAAAAAATATACAGCACCGAATTAATGCCCCTTGCAAAACTGGAAGGTCATTTAAAAGGTAGGAGCTCATAATGTTATGTCCCATCTCCAATAAGATATAGATTAAGTTAACAAATTTTATAAAAGTTAGCAGAAACACCATTAAGCGGCTACTTTCTATTTACCCCATTAACTTCTGCATTCATACAGAAATTTCAAATCAAAGAAAGCTGGTACTGATAAAGGCCACCTCCCCCCCCCCCCTCTTCCCTTTCTCTCTCTCTCTCTCTCTCTCTCTCTCTCTCTCTCTCTCTCTCTCTCTCTCTCTCTCTCTCTCTCTCTCTCCCTCTTCCGCCCACTAAGTTTTGCACAATTCACAACAAAGAGCTTTATATCAATAACAACACAGAGACCAATCAGCCCTTCTACAATCCACAAACTACAATAAACACACATGGCCAGAGAGTGGTACCTGAAGCAGCGGCTGCTAATGCCTCCTCCACACTCCCTGCCTGGCTCTCCCCAGCACTAGTTGTCTCAAACTGTAACTTCTGACTGAAGAAATAGAAATGTGGGCAACACAATAAATAGTTATGAGAAATGAAAATAGCAACAATAATACTAGTAACTGAACAACAGCAATAATGACAATGAAAATAACAATAGCGATTACTGTGGTAATAATAAGTTTGATAACTTATAAAAACAATAATTATAACAATATAAATAGTAATAATAATAAAAGCAAAACATGTTTTGGCCTCTCAATCATGTCTTTCCTTGCCACTTATAAACCGGGCATCTCTCATATGGGACATAAAGCCCACACATCCACTCTTACAGGTACAATTATTCTGTAAATATGTCCCAATAAAAGGAGGAAACCTTCATCCACAAATTATAAAACCTATATCAAAGCATGTCCCTTAAGAGATTTCAAACAAAAAGTAGGTGGACTCCGAGACAAATCTAAAAAACCTTTCTAAAGCCCTGTATCCGGTCATTGCTATAACCACATTCAAACACCGGAGGCATTGTCTCAAGACAGAAAAGAAAGCAGAAAGAAATTGATCAAATCACGGCAGATGGGACCGGGAGAACTAATCGGTACCTCAGTAGTAGTATGTTAGTAAGTGCTGATAGGTTTTGTTTTTACTGCTGTCCTCACGCAAGTATAATTAACATATGGTTGTGAGAGTTCTTCTTTATGTGGTTGAACTGGATTTTCTTGTTACTGTGAAATATTTCCTCTTGTGTGATTGAAGCATTGCGCTCAGTGATCATGTAATTGAGGTAAAGCACTCAAAGCTTATATACTCGTATGGGATAGAGCGCTATATAAATGCAATATATCATTATCATTATTATTTTATTATTATTATTTTTTATTATTATTATTATTATT